GGCAGGTCGGTCACTATGACCATTCGCGCCGAGAACTACGCCCTCGGCAAGCATCGGGAGATCGTCCCGATGTGTTCGATGAAGGCGAGCTTCATGCCGAACATGGAGTTCGTCTGGCCGACCGAGGTCGTTCTGCCGCGGCTACGCTTTCGCGCGAGCTGGAGGGTGGGGCATAACCGTCAACTCGGCGCTACTACCGCTGCGTGCCTTTGACGGGCGAGGACGGATGTACGGAGGAACCGGTCAGAGGGTAGGGGGGCTGGAGGTCCGGCGTCGAGCTGTCGAAACTTCGGTGTGTAATTACTTGTACGATCTGTATTCCTTGTGCGTCTCCTACTTCATGTACTCTCAACGATTTCTGCCAAATATCCACCGTATTACGCCTCAATTTCCTGTGGTGCGGTCTACCCGGCGCGGTGCCCGCGGCTGAGCGTCTACCTGTGGGAATTTCGGATTTCAGCGCTCTGTGGCTGTCATTTCGCGCTCTGTGGCGCTATTTCCAGCATTGTCTACTCAAATATCGCTCCCAGTGTTCTACCTCATCCTTGTCCTCTCGGCAACATGTCCTTTGATGCACGCGTCTACGCCATCCTCTCCAATTCATCACCAGTTCATGGACATCATCCCTCCACCGCCAGTGCCCCAAGTGCCGAAAATCAACACATTACGGTACTTCAATGGACACGAGAGCCTCGGGCTCTTGTTGACTATGTGAGTAACAGGTATGCTCTAAGTCGAAGCATATTGACCTTCCCTCAGTGTCCATATTCCCGTCGTCAGAGTGCCGGCGACGAGCAGTAGTAACGCGTCCAGCTGCCGGAAGAACAACGGCTGAAGCTCAGGGACGAGCTGGACGCGCTGCCGAACCCTCCAAAGCTGGGGGGCTGGCTCTTCTTAGGGCATCCAGGAGATGTTCAAAGCATCTTCAATACCGGCGTGCACCATGCGCGACGGAAGAAGACTGGTTGAGGTCCTGGTCTTCGAGGTGTGTCTCAATGCATCTCACCTGTTTTTGCGAGCTGACTTCATGTATGCGCAATATAGGATGGAAGCTTCCCGTCTCGTTGCCTCTAATTGCAGACGTAGTTGAAGACCGTCCCGGAGCGACGCCATCTGTCATTCAACTTCTGCCAGCCATCACCGTGCAGATGTTTCCTGCCCAGCGGGGGAGGCACCAGGCTCGGTACACCCCCCGGCATCATTACTACACTGCCCATCGAATCGTGGGCTGCTGCGCAGGCAACGTATGGGCGCGCAACATCTTACGTTCCCCCTCCCCTAACCCAAATCCCGTCTTCAAGCTGGCCGATGTGACGGCTGCCATGTACGCAGGGAATACGCGCTTGGAATACGCAAGTCAGCCCCTCTGCTCAATGAAGAGACGTTTGTCCGCACTTGGAGTTACGTGGCCGACCGGTCTGGCTCAAGCTCGATCGTTCATCGAGGCGGACTGGACGGTGGGCATCAATGAGAGCGGTGAGACGGTCGCGACCTGTTCATCGCTGACAAGGATGGATACGAGGTGCGTGTCGTCAGGACGCCGGGCAAGAGGGTTTGCAATGGACGATTAGTAGTACTAGTAGGCTCAGCGGCACGTCCAGTTGTTCTCAGAGTGAGACTTACTTAGTACGATAGTGTGTAAAGTGCGGTAGTCTGGCAAGAACGTGTATAATTGTATTACTTTACTGATGATTATGTATCTACTGCTCCACAATTCTCTGCCGTTAGTTTCTTCAATACCGCGCGCTCAGTGTGGCTGCAGTCGGGCGCCTGTACGTGGGAGCTTTTCAACTGCTGCGGCTGTCATTCCACACTCTTGTCGCTCTTCAAGAACTCCACTCGCTCTTCAACTCTATTCGCTCATCTCACACTCTCCATCATGTCCTACGTGATCGACCACGAGCTCTACAACTCGTCTGGCAGTACATCCGGCGTTCGAAGACATCGCCTATGCTCGACAATGCCCGGAGAACAAGGCGATATCGCATGTCACCGTGCTCTGCATGGAGAAGGAGCACCTGGGGCGCCTTTTCGACTATGTGAGTACTAACAGGACATGTTATATGATGGCCGTTGACTCACGTCCATAGTGTCCACTGTGTCTCCCGTCAGACTGCCCCATGAGGCTTCTACGTGCAGCCCAAGTTGGCCGCACGGTTGGCATTGAGGGACGCGCTGGAGGGTCTCCAGAACCCTCCAAGCTCGAGGGATGGCTCTTTCCTGGAGCCATCAAATCGGCATTCAGGCGGGGCGTTGCCGGCAAGCCTCAACGGGGATGGAGAGCTAAGGGTTATCCTTGCTCTGTATACGTCAAGGTGCATCTCAGATCTTCCACCTTCTTCTGTCTGCGTAGCTAACCGCCATCACGTTCCTGCCTGTAGGAGAATGAATCTCCTATGTCCATACCTCTGGTCGTCGAGGTGTGAGGATAGGCTGCGGCTCTTCTTCCGCCAGCCCATCACCGCCCAGATCTTCACCGGGCTTGCTGGTGGAGGGACCCTATTCTGCGGTACCGGCCCGAGGCCTTCGACATGTACAACCTCAAGTACAGGACCTGGGAACGCCTGCCATCCTCCCCGAGCCACCGAGAGATGGATCGACAACTCCGTTTACCTCCCCTTCCTCTTTGCCACATCCTGATCTTCAAACCGGCGTCGCTCGTGACCACGCCATACCCTGAGGGATTTTCGCTCGGGCGTAAGCGTATCACGGCTGTTTGCTCGATGAAGGTCAATTTTATTCCCCACATCGAGTTTTGTGGCCGCGCGGCCTCAAAAACCTTCCATCGTACGTCAAGGCGAAGTGGACAGTCGGTTCTGACGATGATGGGATCGTCGCGACCTGCCCTGGGTTCGGCGAGGAAGGGAATGAGATGTGGGAGGTTGACCCAGAGCGGGAGGATGAGGACGCGGCTGCGGCTGCTTGAGCGGTGGGACCGTGTGCGTGTAGAGTATAGTAATGAATTTACCTTGTACAATGTAGACTGAGCCTGGAACAACGTGTACTACTCTGCGTCAAATATCTATTCAGCTTACCGTGACTTGGGAAACCTTCAGACAGTGATATCTGAGTGACTACCAAAGTATGTATCCATTTCTATTCACTCTACTCGTCATTTTGTGTAGCTACCTGCGACTTCGCGCTGTACGGCGTGCTCGGTGCGGCGCCTGTGGCTGAGCACCTATTCGTGGGACTTTAATTTCGAACGCTCTGTGGCCGTCATTCCACGCTCTTCAACCTCTAAACACTATCTTTGACTACTCAAACACGACTTCTTTCTCAACTCCGTTCTCACCTCGCTACTCGACATGGCTTCCTACGACAAACACGTCTTCTTCTTCGCCTCCAAGATAGTCCTTTCCAACTTGAGCATTATCTCACGCAGCCCCGTCTGCCCCCACCGCAAGACGATCAAGCACATCACCGTTCTCTGCCTGGAGGGCGAACACTTTGGCATTATTTTTGACTATGTGCGTATAATCCTCGTCTTCTGTATTCAGGTTACACTAATATTCCTTTCAAGTGTACAATATTCCCATCGTCACAGTGCCCAACGCTGGTGTCGTACTGGCTTCAGCCGGCGATGCAACAGCGGGAGGCCCTGCTGGACGTGTTGACAGAGCTCGAGGAGCCTCCGACGCTGGAGGGCTGGCTCTTCCCGGGGGCCATCATGGACTTCTACCACCCGCTGATGATACCGGAGTTGTTGAAGGCCGACATGAGGGGAAGGAGAAGGAATTGAGGGTGGTGGAGGTGCTGGTGTTCACTGAGGTACGTTCGATATTTCTGCATTCTCTACGCTTATCTAACTGGTAGCGCTATGGGACGCACTATAGGACAAATGCTTGCCCATGTCCCTGCCCCTCATTTCTGAGGTGACTGGGAACGTGCTGACACTGAAGTTCTGTCAGCCCATCACCGCCCAGGTGTTCCCTGAGCTTCCGTGGCACAGGGAACGCCAACGCCATCAGGACGACCTGCTGGCCAAATTCGAGTACTACGACCTCAACAGCAGGTCGTGGGTTCAGGCCCTGGCAACCACCTGGAAAGCCGGCCGCATCAGAATCCCTCTCCCCCTCCGCCAGCTCCCCGTCTTCAAGCGCACGGACGTGCTAGTTACATGGAAGGAGGCCAAAGACTATTCCCTCGGGCTCCTGCCTCTACCGCCTCTCTGCTCGATGCTGGCGAACTTCTCGCCACATCTTGAGTTCCTGCGCCCGACGGACCTCAAGTACCCGCGGACCTACTCCGACGTGCAGTGGACCATCAACAAAGAACAAGTCGCGACGTGTCCCAGCATCTGGGATGAGGACGCTACTGCTGCTGGCTCAGAGACGGGGGAAGGCGGCGGTGAGTCAGAGGGGAAGAACGGCAACAGTTTGGAGGAGTGAGAAGGGGCGGCGGATGCTTGTGTAACGTCGTGACTGGTTGTATCGTACAGACATGTAGTGTTCCGGGTCGCAAAAGTCATGTACAATGTACTATAATGAGGCGCAAATAATGTACATTCTTCACAGTGCTTGAAAATGTGGTGGAAATCCCATAGCTTGAGACGAGTGTGCTTGTGAAGCGTAGTGAACGGTTGAGACGTACAATCAATTATTATGTGCTTATAGTAGCTACTGAAGCAGATATGTAGTTTTAGTGGTGTCAAGAACTGCAGAATGGATGTATTGACATACGTAGACCGCGTGCAGAGCTGCTCAACCGAGTTCTGTCAGTCATAAACCGCTCTTTGTCGCTCATATCCCAGTTCATGCTAATTGGGAAAAATCCCAAACCATTTGGCGCCGAAAGTGTTTTTCCTGATGTTGGGTATCCTGTTGAAGAAAGTGAGGGCTTTGTGGTCCGTAATGATGTGAATCTTACGACCAAGCAACTTGTCTTCCCACTTGAGCAGGGCTTCCATTATTCCGAGTGCCTCCTGCTCATACATTTTGTACGCGTGTTGAGCACTTGAGAATTTCTTGGACAGGAAGCCCACAGGTCAACAAGTCTGCCATTCTGGTCCTTGACCGTACACGGCGCCCACTCTGAATAGGGAGGTGTCCGTGATCACCCAAATGGGTTCGTCGATCGAGGGGTCAATTGGCTCCAGTATGGGAGCCCGACTCACAAGTGCTTTGATTGATTCAAAGCATTTGTTGTGCAGTGCTCGCCATACGAATGCTCGGTCGTTATGGCACATGTCGGCCAGCAGGGACGTATAGCCACTTACCTCGGGCAGGAAATGCGCGAGGTAGTCCAAGAAACCGCTGTACCTCCTTGTACGAATGAGGTGTCTGCCAGTTGCAGATGCGATCCATCTTGTCTCGATCGGCGTGCAGTCCTCGGTCGTCTATGAGATGACCAAGGCAGTCCATTTGCTTCGAGTACAAGTCACATTTCGTCTGACTGAGGTATAGCTTGGCCTTCCTCAGTCGGTCGAACACGATACTGAGATGTTTCTCGTGTTCTTCAACCGAGTTGGAGAATACGAAGATGTCATGAAGGTAAATGTGGATGAAGTGTCCGATGCAATCTCCGAAGATTGTGGTCATTAGCGACTGGAATGTAGCAGGCGCGTTGCAGTTGCCTTGTTGCATTACCAGGCTAAGGAATGTGCCGTACGGTGTAGAAAACACTGTCTTCCAGACGTCTTCTGCAACGATACGGATCTGCTCATACGTGTCGGACAGGTCGATTTTCGATCTGTACTTCGCTCGAGCCATGTCCATTCTGATCTGGTCCTGGTCGGGAAACGGTGTCACGTCCTTTCGGGTATTGTCATTGCACTGTCTTGCGTCAACGACAGTACGCAGTTTGCCCGACTTCTTTGCAATGCAAAGTAGCGGAGCGGCCTGCGACGTTGATACTGGTTCCCACCATCCTGCATCTGAATACCGCTCGATCTTGTCAAGTAGCTGTGGTTTCATAGCATCCGGGCACTTGGGCAAGCAGTATTTGTACTGCTTGTCCTGGTCGATGAGCGGGATATAATGGTTCACCTCCCGGAATGGCGGCAATCCGGGAGGTGGAGGCTTCATTATATCCTCGCACTTCTTCAACCACTCCTCGCGCAGTGCGTCAAGTTGTGGGTCTTCGTTCAGGGACTGGCGTATCTCCTCGTCGACAAGGAAGTTACACACAGCTCTGTCAACCTTGTCGTTGGTTCCATACGGGTCCAATCGACCAAGTTTGTCTCGCTTGGGCTGCTGCGACGAGTGAGGCATCGGTGGATTGTCCTTGCTCAGTCGTGGCAGTTTCGCTGTAAACTGATTTCCTCTGTTTACAGGCACCTTCCGCCGAGGCGTCACCACTTCTACTGTTAGATGTGGTGGCGGTCGGTCTGAAGCCTTCAATGTTGGGTTGCGTACTACCTGCGGCCGCATCAGCAATTTGTGCAATTTCTGAAGCTCTGAGTACCTGACAGTGGTCACTCAGACAGCCAGCCAAGTCAGTAGACTTCAAAGCTGCAGATGTCTCACTATACCAGACAGGTTCAGACAGGCTCAGATAGCATCAGACGCAGCAGTAGAAAGGCTAGTAGATACATTCATGGGAATGATAATCTCCGTACTTATTAACATAGAAGGACTCGAAAGCATCAAGAGTATACGAAAAATGAAAATTGATGGGCATCGAGGTGTCCCCATACACCGGAGTAAGATGAACTGCACGAAAAATACTATCTAGATGTACTATAGACGAGGCTTGTTGTCCATCATCTGCATCTACCTCGGGCTGAACAACATACATACTGGTCACTTCGCTAGGATCGTCGGATACTTTCTCGAACCAATCTATCAAAGCACACGGGTAGGGGATACCAGCATGAGTTAGTATCATAAGGCCCATAACCCGACCAACCTCCATTCCTTTCATGCCAGGTTCGGCTTCGTCAACATTGATGAGGACTGTATCGAAGCGAGGATGGCCGCGCCAAGACAGGTTGGCACGTATGAGCTCCCGATGCATGCCACCATCGCCGGAGAGTTTGCTCGGTGCATAGAACTTCGCGATCACTGACCGGTAGACAGCAATCTTGCCGAGAAACTGCGGGCATTGCGCTACATCGACCATGCTTGAGCCGATCTTGTCGGTCGCGATGAGCTGGTCAAAAAGGAATCGGCGGATCAGGGCTAGGAGATCAGGCTGATCATACTCGGCAGCGAGGTCCTCGACACGACGCATGTAGACTATGGAACCACTTAGCAACTTGGACACAATGGGCAGGAGACTAAGATAACAGACATCAACTTACCTTGTCGCTTCGGAAGCTCGACCACGCCCTGTCCATTGTACCCATTCTCGTCCATGACCTCGTCTTCTGGCTCGTCAAGCTCGTCCTCAACGAACTCGGCTTCGGTGATGAGTGGTCCGAGGTTCATCGCGTCCGCAAGAACATCACCATCAAGCATATGGTGACTCATGAAGTATGAGCGCGCCGCGCCGAGCTTGTCAAGGTGCTGATTAGTTCGGAGCATTTCCGGTAATGGATTGTTCTTGCTGGAGCTTCGCCACGGCTTCTTGACGGCGCGGATATGTTTCGATTCCGTGATCGACGAGCAGATGCCGTTTGGAGAACCGAAAAGTCGTATGCCCGTGATGTAGTGAACGAGAGTGTGTTGTCGTGGGAGTGAAAAGCCCTCAGGGCGGATACCAATGTCCTTGAAGATAGCGCGGTGTCTGTGGAAACGATTGAGTGCATCCTCCATTGCTGCGAGTGAGTTGTCATCATGAGCGGATCGCCGCGCCAAGTAGCAAAAGTCGAGGTATGCAGCGAAGCAGCGCACAATGCCGTCTGGCACGTGCCCTTCAATTGCGGGGAGGTAAACCTGTAATCGGATCAATAGATAAATCTGTGCTCAACCGGTGATTCGAGCACGAGGACACCACTCTCACCTTCATTAGAGCCTTTGAATCATTTCCCGTCCACTGTTTGAAGTTCCTCCCTTCCGGAAACTGTCGAAGACCAGGAAATTGCGGTGCAGCAGCTATCCTTTGACAAGAAATCAGCAAATATTGAAGCTGACGCCAAACTCGATAATTCACCTGCAATCTATGTCGTCCATTTGGCGGCGAGCTTCCGCCTTCGGATGGACAAGATAGAGGTACTTCTCGACCCACTCGACAAGGTGATCTTTGAATGTACCTTTGATCAGTTGATGCAGAAGGTCGGGCGTGAGAAGTTCGTGTATGTCGGTGTGGGGGAAATGCATTGTGAAAGGCTTGAAACATAACAGCAAGTGGTCAGTGCAGCCACAGAGATGTTCCGTGATGCGAACGTACGATCACATTGACGTCGAAGCCCCATGTACGCCAGATAGTCTTGGTGTCGAAGTTGTCGACCAAATGTTCGGTATGTTCCGGGCAGCGAGGATCTCCCCCGCCTCTGTGTAGATCTTCGGGAGGTAGAAGACATCTGTGGAATAGTCAGTATTAGTTTACGAGAGACGGAAATATGCATACTTCGGGCACCACCCACTGACTATGCCCGACAGAACAACCTGCTCCGGATAGTCAGCAATGAAGGGGCCCAGCTCGTATATGACCCGTCGGAAGTATCCGTCAGGGCAGCGGACGATGTCGTGTGTCTCCATGTAGGGCCGCAGAGGCGACAGGATGTGTGCAATAGATGCATGGTATATCTGTTTTCGGAACGTCCGGAACTCGTCAGTCTCGACCTCGCCTCGCGAAGCTGCAGTATAATTAGTATCTTTGTGTGTCTGCTGTGCCAAAGGAAGACTGATCTCGATGACATACCTTTGGGTATTGCTAAGAATGCGATCGGGATGATCGCGTCCTTGTGGGCGCGACGCACAGGATTATGCACGTTGCCTATTGACATATACAAGGGATGGAATTCTTGATGACCAGTACCGACTGAGACGGTCGTCTTATCGGCACCGAGGAGGACCGGCGCGAGCATTGACCCATGCGTTTGCAGATCTTGTGCGACCTTCGTCTGTGAAGTTGCAACTGAGTTGACGAAAGGCGTGCAGAAATGCATCTCGTACCGCCTGTTTGTACGCATACTGCCCTGACATGACGTTCGAGAAGCGCGTAACACCAGGTACCGGATACTCCTGGTACGGCGTTGTGTCGAACTTGCTGTCGTACTCTTCATTTCCGATCATGTTGTGGGTGACCTGGCGGGCATTGCGACAGTGGATGGTGTAGTCGGCCTGCTTCCAAGAAGGTGAATCCTCGTCAATTGGCCCTGTATAGCGAACAGAAAATGATTCCCACGGCGCGTCTCCATACTGGATGGCATCTATCGTTTCATACAGCTGCTCTGCATTCTCGAAAGGTGGGTCGCCACCGCCTTGACTAACGTTGTATGCTGCTAGAGTCCTCATCAGATCGTTAATGTTACCCTGCGATACCTGCATCTTCTTGAAGATGAGCTCCGCGAACTGGAACGCGGCTCGATTCTCGAACGGCGCATAAGACTCGACTGGTTCTCGTGCAGGAGGAGGCGCGTCGCGAGGGAGGAAGTTGCCGTCTTCATCGCAAGGTCGACCTGTTGAAGTCAGCGAGATGCACCAGAGCCGGTCTAAGATGCTTACCATTGAGGTGAGGATGATAGCGAAACACAGACTCTGGTGCTGCAAGTCTTGGCTGTTGATGTTGACGAGAATTGTGGCTTGCAAGTCCACGTCAAATTGGAAAGGATTTATTGCAGATGGTGCACCAGTAAGCGTGAGGTTGGGGCATGATGGTGAACGGTCGACGTAGTAGATTGGGACGGAGATAGTAGTGTCTCGTACAAAGCCGCGAGCGTAAGTAACAGGAGCAAATAGGGAGCAAATACCTTGGTGCATGTGCCTTCGCTTACACACGTCCGTCTCACACTTGTGGCACCTCCAAACCCGGATCCAGCTCTTCCACCGCTCGCCCTTTCCTAATCATCCTCTGCACCTCGGCTGGCCGTGTCGACAGTCTGACTTGGAGTCCCGGACGAGGACTCAGACTCGTCAGCTGTCAGGGCTCCAGTGATGTCTGCCTCTGCGTCAGCCCGGGCATCTCGGTCGCGAAAGGGTAAAGGTCGCGAACCTGCTGGTACTCCCATGGTGACATCGACTTCCAGGGCCGAGTCACTAGCCCAGGTTGGGTCTGACGATCCCGGCGCACCGACACGCCGGTATAGCACCCGTTCGACTAATGATCTACATCCTGGTCGTTCTGCAGGAGTGAATAAACGCACACATGCAGAGGTGAAGGAGGACGCACGCAAGAAACAGCTCGAGAGGGCGGCTGATCTTGCACGCAGGGAAGCCGAACTCGAGGAGAGGGAGCTTGCCTTAGAGAATCGAACGCAGAAGCAGGCCGTATTCGAAGGGAAGTTGAAGGCGCGTCGAGAGGAAGAGACCATGGAGAAGCTGCTTGCAGACGAAGACACTATGGCGGACGAAGACGTTATCCTGGACGAAGAAGTCCCGGGCGAAGACGCCATCGTGGACGAAGATGTTATTGCGGACGAAGGCACTATTGCGGACGAGGGTGCGATTGCGGATGAGGGTGCGATTGCGGACGAAGATGCAGTTGCAGATGAAGACGTGGTTGCGGACGAAGATGCAGTTGGGGATGAAGATGCAGTTGCGAGCGAAGATGCAGTTGGGGACGAAGGTGCAGTTGCGAACGAAGATGCAGGTGAGTGTCCTGGCTTGGTGCATTGAATGGGAGCACTCACCAGCCTTGGTCCGTGAAGACGGAGACATAGACATGCAAGTTCAGTCGGACTTCAAAGACAAAGACAACAAGGACTATAAGGAATCGAGTGAGCGTGGTGATGACGAGAGCTCGGAGCAGTTGCAGAGCTCCGACGGCGACGACTCCGAGTCGGATGATGAGGTTGAGATTGGTACAAAGAGGAAGGCGAGGAGCACATCGAAGAAGGTGAGTCGTGACAATCCTGTCTTGTCTTGGAGACACGCGCCTGGCAGAGAGCTGATGTGATATCGTTCGAGGATCAGTCCGGGACCAAGAAGAGGAAGTCGCAGAAGGACCTCAGGCAGGAGCTCTTGGCCGAGGTGGAGAGTGCGAAAAGGATGCAGCGCGCGCAGACGACAGTGAGCTTGGAGTCGGACGCACGGTACGCACACTTCCGTGAGATAAGATCAGATGGCGATCTAATGTGTACCTCAAGCGCCTTGGCCTCGACCTCCACAAAGCCGCGTTCTCAACCTCGCTCGACAGCGTCAAAACCGACATCCAAACCGACAGCTACGAAGAAGTCTACGAGTATGAAGAAGTCTACGACCACGAAGCAATCCACAAGCACGAAGAAATCCAGTAACGTTTCTAAGAAGAGCTCGGCGCTGCCGTCTACTATCCTCAACATGGGTCTAAAGGCGGACTGGAAAGCTGCTGTCGCGCATTGTTCGCAAACCCCATCTCGGCCTCAGGCGAAGGCACTCTCCGTGGCTGCAAAGTCCGCATCGCCTGCGACCTCTAGCCAGGCAAGTACACCGACTCCGAAGCACTCCGCAGCTGCTCATCGTGCGGGCAACACGAAGCGCATGAAACGTCAACGTTCGCTAGAGCTCATTGGCGGCTTCGTCGATGACGATGTCACTGTCAGCTTCGGGTCTGCGAAACGCGGATACACTCAAATGGCTGAGGTAGTGAAGAAGGAGGGCTCCGACAACGAGGGCAAGCATTCGACCAGTGCAAAGAAGAAGTGCCGCGCGAAGACCACCGTTTCCGACGAGAAGTCACTCTCAGTTCACTCCTTACCTGCCTTCATACAACCTCACTGGAAGTCGACCTTCGTTCCAACGATGATCCAACTCATTGGTCAAGCCGAGATGCCATGGGCATACGCAAGCGGCAAGAATTCGGCTGAGGACAACCTCCTCGTCGATCTTGTGCAACGTTTGGTGAGTGTGTTCTGGCCAGAAGAGGGCTACGAGGTCGACGGCTCCAATAAGATCTATCAGATTGTGAGTACAGATCATCACTGCCAGTGAGAGCTCGCCTGCTAATGAAATGCACAGGCGCGGCAGGCGGTCAATGACTGGCGCGCGCGTTTTGCTTCTCGCATCAAGACATTCATCAGGAACGAGCTGAAGAAACGGGGGTCCGAGGCGAACATAAGAGTGTTCGTCAAGGCGGCACTGGTGAAAAGCAACGGCGCGGCATTCTGGGCCGAGTACAGTGCAGAAGTGAGTCATTTTAGGCGTCTTGTTCAGGCTCGTGTCTGACTGCAAATTTAGGACGAATGTGCTACAGGAGCACTCCAGTCAGCATACGTCCTCAAATCATTTGCAACACATCTCGCCGCAATCCAGGGAAGTCGTCTCAAGGCTTCTGATACCCAGCCCGCGCGTGGCGCTCTTTCACTCGCGGCTACTGCAGTACGAGTCACCCAAGTATCAGTCTCGAGTTATCACTGACGGAAATAACTCCCAGGTGCAGTACGTATTTACCGCGTGGCAGCACGGGACTTTTGACGGAACAATCACATTCAGCGGCGATAACTACCGTGGCATTACGACTTTCTGGCGTGACAAATCCGTCGACAAGATCATTGCCCGTGGTCGGTACAACAAGTACGTCGACATGGCTGATAAGTACATGGAAGCTGGATGGGCACCCCGTGTTGTCGACGATGAAGACAATGTTACCGTCTGCGATCCAAGCAGCCCGGTACAGTCTGATCGTGAGGAGGGTGGGTTCGATTGACTTGTATCTCAGGCTAGTATAATACACTGTACACGTGCACTCCATATACACATACATTCGGCCGAGTACTTCTCTCTCAACAGCGAGACTGGTAGTATATGATATCTTTAGGTATTCAACTACCAGCTGTCTCGACTTGAATACATGCATTATCTGACGACTGATCCCTGTTGTACTGGATGAACTGAGCATGTCTGGAAAGCTGGTAAGTTCTGATGCATCTGAAAATGTCTGTCTGACGACGAATTCCACGAATTTTGCGAGGTCATGAGGACTGACCATTTGAGAGCAACTGATGCAATCTGGATAATTCTGAAGGGTTCTGAAGTCCCTGATAGGGCCGTCAGACACTTTGCATGTTTTCCTGATGCTGGTGCCGTAGGTGGTACCAATTTCTTCGTTGTTCTATCCACAATAGAAGTGATTTTTAGGTCGCTCCCTTCCCCCCTCAAGACCTTATTTCCTTCTTCCGCATAGCGAGACAGGGGGGCTGCGCAGCGGTGGATCTCGCTACACTGCCCTATTGTCTTGAGGTGGTAGCAGCACGTAAATGTGCCGCTACCCTGTCTTGACAATTGTTTTGGCGGTGTTCCCACACCTCAGCCTCCTGGACGGTGGTGTAGGCAGGAATGTCTACGCCGTCAATCCAGATCTTCCGCGTACGAAAGTCTAGGACTACGTTATGCGCATTGCAGAACGTAGTGCCTAGTACCATATCATACCGGTCGATGTCAACGACATCGACATAGTTGACGTTGTTGATGGGGCCAACCGTAATCTTCGGCAGCGCACCATAGTTTATTGTGGTGTGACTGCCCTTCGTTCCAAGCTGCAGGTTGATCTGCT